AGGCCTTTTGGATAAAATTGTGGTGGAACTTACAGCAAATTTTTAAAAGAAGAATTACTTTCTCGCCTCAGTTGTTTCTCCTAGGTATTACACAAAATTTGGATGTAAAAGAAACGAATTTGATGTTATATTGCTTAACTGCTGCCCGTTTGCTGATAGCTCAAAACTGGAAGAGTAAAATTTTACCTACAATGGAAGATTGGAGATTGAAAGTTTCGTACCTTGCTGAGATGGCAAAGATTTCGGCTTATTTGAAGAATTATTCAAATGAACAATTTTTATTAATATGGAGAAGATGGATTGTTTATATTCAAAAGAAGCATAGAGTGGTGGAATATAATTTAGGTTTTTAGAAAAAATTTTCTTTTCTTTTATATATTTTACCTACTCATGTAGAATAATATACTTTGTGGAGTTAGAGATACTAATATTTATTTACTTATATTTGAATATTATCCTGGGATTAGGTTTGGGAAGTCCGGGGGGTGGGGTTTTTTTTAATAGCACTGTGCAGTATTTGTGATTTTTCTTTATGATGAAAATAATAAAATTTTATATTGAAAAAAAAAAGTAGGCCCCATTCTTACAGCTTTCAAAAGACCATCAAGACTTTGCTTTTTACCGAGGTACTGAGATAGAGTGAGGATTTCTGGAGTGGGGGATGATTGAGATACTGGGTTTTATTTTGGTTTTATGGTTTTAAGTTTTAAAATAAAGGTATTTTGAGAATTCCCCTTCTTTTCTACTCTTCATCTTATTTAATTATTTAAAACATTTATATGGCAACCCATATTTCAACAAAGTCTGGCCAGTTGCCAGTCAATATGTTAGAAAGATTATCCAAGGTGCCTCTACTTCTGAATTCAACCGGGAAATTCTCATTCTGTATATGGTTGAAAGTTGAATTGCAAAATCTTGAGCATTCTCTTGCAAGAATGTGAGATAAACACAATTGTTCAATAGTCTTAACATTCTTTACCAATGTTATCTTTTTTGGTAAATCATAATATAAATGGATATTTTCTAGTCTGTTGGCTACTGTTTTGTTTTTCATATCTGTGCACAAAACACATATAGCACTTTAACTGCATTATTTCGGAAGACTTAGAGGTTCTGCTGCTATTTCACCAACTCCTACAGCTTTCTGTGCTCAAACATTTTATGTATATACAGGTAGTCTTCGAGTTACAACCATTTGCTTAACGACCGTTCAAAGTTTACAACCGCACGGAAAAAAAGTGACTTATAACCATTTTTCCCACTTATGACTGTTGCAGCATCCCCATGGTTTTGATCAAAATTGGACACTTGGCAACTGGCCAGTATCATGTGATCACCTTTTGCTATCTTCTAACAAACAAAGTCCATCTGGAAGCCATACTCACTTAACAACTGTGTTACTAACTTAACAACTGCAGTGATTCACTTAACAACTGTGGCAATGGTTGTAAAATGGGGCAAAATGCACTTAACAGCTGTCTTGCTTGGCAATGGAAATTTTGGAGTCAATTGTGGTCATAAGTCAAGGAATACCTGTAATTGATTTGGATTGTTGTTGTTTTATGCAGTTCTCACCATCTCATTCTGATTATATTTTCTTTCATCAGTATGGTTTTGATGCCTTTGCCTTTTATTATACTCATCTTGTTTCCTGTGATTTTTTTAAAATAAATCTGCTTATACGTCCCATCTAATTGTTATCCTCCAATTTTTTACTTATTTAGACATACAATAAGTGATTTCTTGTTTCTTCTTGCTTATCTCTAAATCTCAGCATTTTGTTGGGCAAATTTTCTTCTATCTGTGCTGCCTTTTTATTTTCCACCATTCTCCCAACTATTTTCACTATCAGCAAACAGCCATTTTGCCTTCTTTTGCTTTTTGCAATTCTGGATATTTTTTTTGTTTCATCTTTAAGGATGTCTCAAATTTAGAGTACTTTTGACACACAATTTATCATTAAGTCTGTTTAAGTTCCTAGCATAACTCTTTCCCACAGTTCTATACCAGATACTAACTCATTTTATCTCAGTTGTTTTTAATCTCATGATAATATTCAGGTCCATTCATGCTAAATATGTTTCTGCCAAAAAATGCATGGTGATAAAAATAAAACAACTGCTTTTATTCTTCCCTTTTGAATAGGCCAGTGCAGCCAGATATTTCCCCCTCATCTTGGCTCATCACAGATAATCTACGGAAATGGTACCACTCTTGGCTCTGTAATTACATTTCGTTGTTCTGACGAGCATCAGCTGATTGGTCATGGAGTTGTCACATGCATTTGGAAAGAAAATGCTACACAATGGACAGCTGATACTCCTTCATGTATACGTAAGTGTTTTTTCCCCACTCCCCTCTCCTTGCAAAATGATTTGTATAATCTTCAGACTTTCTCTGACATGCAGGTGATCTATACCACTGTAAAAACTAATGATAATGGCTGCAGGGTGGAAGAGCAGATTTCAGACTTTGCAGTTCTATTCATTTTCAGAGATCGCTGACTATTATCAAAGAAAAACCTGATGCTGAATAGAAATGCCACAGGTTTTTTTAAAGATTATATTTAATTAAAAATAATGTTACCCTTTCATTTGTTTCATTTCTGGTTCTGTAAGTCTTGCTTGATACTTAATTAATTAATTAATGCCGTACATCTTGCTATCTGAGACACATATATTTGCTCAAAACATTCCAGCTCAGGTAAATGTTCAGTTTTAAATTCTAAATGTGTTGATGAAGAGAAGTAGAGGGTTTTTTTTTTAAAAAAAAGAAATACAGTTATGCTATTGTTTATAATTGCAAAAAAAAAAAGTGGTTATAGCTTCACGCTAGCAAAGTAAGTCAGACCGCAGCTTTTCTAAAATGTCTGTAAGCCTGTGTTCCTGTAAGTTTCCTGGAAAATGGGTGTCGGCATCATAAAAACCACAAAAATCACACAACAATTCAAAAACTGCTACTACGTTGACTTTGGTGGATTATAGGGCATTCAGTCAGTGGGCTGCACCTAACTCCATGAAAGTCGATGTCTTAATAAGTGTGTTAGTCTTCCGAATGCTACCACAGCCTTTTCTGCTTTTCTGCTTTTCCACTTTTCTGCTTTTCCTTCAACATAACCCAGTTAACCCAGTTAACCCAATTAATCAAGAGCATTACAATAACTTCTTCTTTTTGTGATTTTAATTCAGCTATACTGAAATTTTCTTCTGCCTTTTTACCTGTGGTTTTCACTTCATTTGACTATTCTAAAGAGAAAAAGATGTTAAAAATAAAAAAAATATTAAATATGTTCAGAGTGTTTCCAGGCTATCCTACAGGACAAGAGCCTTCTCAAGGCAGCTTATAGTAATAAAATCAAAATGCTATAAAGAATGTAATAAAAAATATTAATAAAGCCCACAAACATTCTGCCACAGTATTAAAATTGAACTTGTGTGGAGTTGAAACCAGAACAGAACAATAGAATTCCATTTAGGAAAAGTCTTGAGAAAAATAAATGGGAGTTTAGAGCTTTTACAGAAAAGCTGGGAATGAATCAGCCACCAGGGCAGTGCATTCCGTAGGGCAGTGTGTGGTCCTTCTTGCATTAATTGGCATAACTGCTGTCAACGAAAAGAAGATAAGAAGGATTTCCATTCCTCAAAATGGAAGCAGATCAACGGGAATGAAGGTGAACTCGATCTCAATCAGTTTTAAGGCTTTAAATATTAAAACCAGCATTTGAGATTGAGTTCAGGACCTCACTGGTAGTCATACAACTGGCACACTAGAAATGTCGGATGTTCTGACTGCTTTGCTCCCACCAAAGCTATGTTCTATACTAGCTGGAGTTTCAGGACCATCTTCTGAAGCAATCCTCTGAAGAGAAAGCAAAGTATCTGAGATTCCTCCCTCCTTCCAATGCTCACTTAGCAGTGAATGCGAATTAGCAACAAAGTATGGAGAAAAATCAGATGACTAAGTGACTCGAGATATTAGCAATGGGCTCTCTCTGCTGCTACATGGGCCTTAATAATAGGGCTCAGCCATACATATAGGCCTTAGGCCTATAACACCGATTGTGCGTTCCAACCACACTGTATGTATGCCTTTGATTTCTATCCTACCAGTGGCTTACAAATACAATAAATATACAGTGCAAAATAATAAAAACACAACAGTGATCACACACAAAAAAAATAATGCCAATTTCCTAGGCGGTAGCACCCAAAATCTCTCTAGAAGAGCTTCAGTTTTTTCCAGAAAGCAGCCAGACTTGGAGCTGGTCTAAGATGAAATTTTAGTACTGCTACTGAGAAACAGTGCCTTTTAGGATCAGCCTCCTTGACCTCCTTTAAATGGGAAATGAGCTGCTTCTTTTGACACAAACACAATGTTAAGCCCAATTTCAGTATGCAGAGCACCAAAGCTTTGTAGGTAAAAAACCCCAACATTTTAAATTGCAGGCCAAACTAAATACAGTAATGACTGCTGGCGAGCATCCAGGCCACAATATTTGGTACCAACTGAAGTTTCCTGATGATCTTTAAAGGCGGCCCCCATACAACACACACTGCAATAGTTTACATAATGGTGACAAGGGCAACAATCATAGTTACAAGGTCCTCTTATCCCAGGGAAAGCCTGAAGCGATGGTTTGAAGTTACTACTCCCCCTTTTGTTTATGGCTGAGTTGTGTTGGAGTAATTGCTGTGGAGTAATTGCTTGTGAGGATTTCATTGCTCTCTTATAAATAAGAGGCTTTAAAATAGTTTGCTTTGAGATGGTTCCAGATAGAACACTCCTACTTTTGGTGCATTTAATGGCAGGGGTGTGAATGTACAGCAAGGTGCAGATGTCAGCCTCTAACTGTGTTTGTTTTATTCCAGCCATATCCAAATATGAAACCTTTGGGTTTAAAGTTGCTGTGATTTCTTCCATTGTGAGCTGTGCCATTATTCTCCTGATGTCAATGGCTTTTCTAACCTGTTGTCTTATCAAGTGTATTAAGAAAAGTGAAAGAAGACGGGCTCAAAGGTGAGTCATATTTCTGGCTTTAGGCTGTTAATTGAAGTATCAGCCGTAAGATAGAGCTGTTGCTGTACTGTTTTTCTCTTTCTCTGTTAGTAAATGCTCATTTTCTTCTCCTGGCTGCAAATATAAACAGGAAGGTTCTCATCAGTTTGCATGTTCCATATGACAGGATCTGCAATTTTTAAATAGAATAGAACAGAACAGAACAGAACAGAACAGAACAGAACAGAACAGAACAGAACAGAACAGAACAGAATAGAATAGAATAGAATAGAATAGAATAGAATAGAATAGAGCTGTTCCACTAGTTAATTGATCTCACTTTGTCTTGATACTGAGACATTTCTCCCTTTTTTAATTTGTCAGCCACCCATAATTGTTCTGGAGTTGGGCAACCCTAGATGTACCCAATACATTACATTACACACACATACACATGCATACATACATACAGTGTTGTTTTTTCTAAAAAAAAAAAAAAGGTGCCAGAACTCACACATGGCATACAACCTGCCTTTCCTACCCTACAAGGTTCCATCCAAAAAAGGTGCCGGAACTCCGTTCTGGCGTTCTATGAGAAAAAAAGCCCTGCATACATACATGTTCTCCAACTATGATAAGGCCCTATCATCACCTGTATTTACTGACCTCTTGGCAGAAGTACAATTTTTCCAAATTTTGTTAATCTGATTCAAGACTAAACTGTCCCAGAAGAGTTCTGGCCAGTTTAATTTGAGAGACCAAGTTCACAATAACTTTTTGNTTATTCTAATACTGAATTATCTTCTCTCAGCTTCCAAACCTCATGTAAAGTGCTGTTTTAAGCAATAAAGTGCTTCAGACCTCAAAGCCATTGTCTCTGAAGCAGGGCCTCTTTCCTTACATCCCTTGTTATTTAATTACAAATGACTGTGCTTTTTCAAGGGTATTCCCCCGTCACCACTGTGGATTAATCTCCCTAGGGAAACAGCTTGAGCCTATCTTGTTATTTTGGTAGTATCAGATGAGGCTTCTTATTCTCTTAGGCCTCTTACATTTCCCCATTCAGCTGTCCTGTTAGGTTTTTAATCTGATCCCCAAGGTATGTTTCGGCCTGCCCTGGGGACTTGTTTCTGGAGCTGGCTGCTTTCAAATTTAATTGCTGTTTCCACCCATTGTTTAATTATTTTATTTATACTGTATATGTTTAATGTATTTCTAGTGACAAGATGGTTCATACCTTGTAGTCAAAGTGCATAGTGATAATAATAAATACAGTTTCCTTCAATATATGTTGCTTTCTTTCCTTGAGGGAAATAGAGCCATAAGGAGAGGTGGACTTCCTAGAACCTCAAATGGTAGCTTGCTGGCTACAAACCTAATCTTGCCCTGTTCCCTTGAGGATCAAAGAAGTCCTGAAGGTGAGAGATTTCAGCCAGTTCAGCCAGGCTAGAAAGTGGGGAGTCTGTGAGTTCAAGTCCTATCTTGGCCATGAAAGACAGCAAGGTGATTTTGGGCCAGACCAACTCTCTGTCAGACTAACTCACCTCACAGGGTTTTTGTGGAGAAAATAGGAGGAGGAAGGTATATTGGATATATTATCACCTTCAGTTATTTGTAAAAATAATAAAGGTGGGATACAAATAAAAGCAAACAAACCAGCATGGGGAGAATTTTTGACATATTCTTTTTCTGCCCCTACCAAACTAGTTCCCACGCCCTGGGTACCTTTCAGTTTCAGTAATCTCATAACAATTTAGTGTGGCTTGAAACAGGGCTGTTTTGCAGGGGCTGAAAGACAAGATGATCATGTGATCAAAGCCCTGCCATTACTATCATACACACAGATGACACTGAATCTAAATCTCCAAAGTACAAGATTTTTTGTGCAGTATTTAATAAGTGAAAACAAAACACCTTTCCAGTTCCCATCCTAAGAAATGTTTCACACTGCAGCCCCTCAGATGGCAGTTTTGAGGGGTGGGAGAGTCTCACATTAATTTCTCTCCCATTAGAAGGCAAAGCTATGTATGCCAGCCTGAGGTAGCTTTGTGAATGTCAACCCTTAAGCTTGCATGTTGCCTTGAGTGTGGGGAAATGCTTGGCCTGTCTTTAGTCCTGAGATAGAAATCAAGACATTCAATTTTTGTAATAGAATTAGGAGCAGTGATGACATTTGGTCCTGCGTCTCAGGCAGAAAGTGTCTTCAGCCAGCCTTATGTGGATATCTGTGGGTCACATTTAAGGAATTCTTGAGAAATAGAAGTTTCTATCTACATTAAAAACAGATCATAGTGGCGGAAATGTGCTTATTTAATTCAAGTTGTTCCTTGCTTCAGACTGTAGCTCTATGAATGGCTTTTTAAAAAGTGAAACTTGTTTCTTTTATAATGTCTGTTTCGTTTCTTCCTCCTAGGTGGGATAGTAGATAGAACATTGTTTTATGGAGATGGAAGAATCTCCTCCTTAGGAAGCCCGCCTGGGAGCCCTCTGTTCTAGGATTTGGAAGCAGAGGTAGGGAACCAAATCCAGTTGAAAGATGGATTGCTTCACTGGGTCTTGTGGGCTAGATAGGGTCAGTGTTTCAGGCTTCAGAGTGAAACACAGTCTAGCAGATCAGGGGAAACAGGTTTCCCCTGATATGTTAAATTGTTCTCAATACAGGGAGAGGTCAGTCTCTCTCTTTGACTGAGAAAAATAATTCTGAGTTTTTATAGGTTTAAAAGAAACTTTCTTGCAGAACTTCTCAGCATTATTTCTGAATTCTGCTCTTTTTTAACTCCAATGAGCAGATAATAAGATGGATCATATCTGAGGGTTTTATTTTTTGCTGGTATGAGTCTAGGACAATTACTTTCCATCAGAAACTGAGTCCTGCTCAGCTGGGTATTTTAAGCATTTGGATGGGGAAGTTCCAGGAAATGAGGTTGGGAATACTGTGGAAAGACAAAAGACCAAGGGCAAGTATGTATGGATGAAATCTGCTGAGAAAGCTGAAGCTTTGAGAAGGTTGGAGTCAGGTGTGATCTAGTAGCAGTTCTGGTCTTTGATAGCCATGGTACTTTGCAGCTCATCTGCCTGAACAATTTGTAACAGCCTGGCTGTGACAATTCTGTCTACCCTTTCTTTCTCTCCTACCCCCTGCTATTCTTTATTTTGCTTTGTGCAGTCCCGTTGCTGGTACTCTTGATTATTATCATATCTCTGGCTAATAGTCTTTACCCAAGAAGAAACTCATCTACAGCTGAAGAAGGAAACATATAAGCAAATTTGGAAAAACAAACATTTATGTGCACTCTTTAATATTTTCCTCTAATTATTGTATGCTGTGATCTTCATTGATTATAGAACCTGAAGGCATCAAAGTATGCAAGTTTGTCTTCCAGAAATTAGTTGATCGTGTTGTTTATAGTACAGTCGTACAAACTGCCCTTTTCTGTTATGGGAGAGACAATAATTTGGTGGACAACATCCTGCAGACCTCCAATTAAAGTAATTGCTGCCACTTTTGCCAACAGTGCAGTCATTGTTGGGAGCACAGAGCAAGTCATGTCTCTGCGGTCTTTTTTCATACTGGGGTTGAATAACTTTTCTGGTAGGAAACAGGTCACGGGAGGACATTTTTAATTGTATCTTGATTTTAGATGCCCTGTCCTAAAGTCCAGGATGGTGGAGTGCATTCTCTCAACTCTCATCAATTTTATTGATAAGCATTATTTTCAAATTAAAATAAAAAGAAGAATATGATGACTTCTTTAAGCCTCAAAATAAGCCAGGCATAATGGAACTCTTGTTACATCTCCATCTATCAGTGAAATGGGTTTTCTACAGCCATCTTTCGTTTATATGATTCTAGCATTTATATAGCATATTTTAAGCCTGTAAAGTAATCCTTATATATTAGCCAAATAATCTTTACTTCAGCTCTATAATGTAGCTCTAAGAACCAAGAATGACACGTGGAGTTACTTATAGTTCTTTATTGTTGTTTGCCTAGAAACTTGCCAGACTAAAGGAACTATCTGAATAACTATTAGATATTCTCTGTGAATTGCTAGAGAGGGTTTGCCCTCATCCTCTTCCTGCCTACCGACATTCCATTTCCACTTTTTCTTTGCTCCCCCCCCCCCCCAGGAAACAACCCTTTCTTCCTGCAATTTCATACTACATTTCACCCTTTTAATGAGCAGCAGACCACTAGTCTTTCACCTTTGATAGGCAATGGCTTACTTTTTCCTCTCTTCTAACCAATATAGTGTATACGGTAATTAACATATCTGAAATTATTGGTGCTTTTTTCCAGAAACATTATTTCTATTTCTGCAAATTCAGCTTTTCTCACAATATGTTCTGCCTATACTATAAGCTTGCTTCAGTAGGCCCCATTCTTACAGCTTTCAAAAGACCATCAAGACTTTGCTTTTTACCGAGGTACTGGGATAGAGTGAGGATTTCTGGAGTGGGGGATGATTGAGATACTGGGTTTTATTTTGGTTTTATGGTTTTAAGTTTTAAAATAAAGGTATTTTGAGAATTCCCCTTCTTTTCCACTCTTCATCTTATTTAGTTATTTAAAACATTTATATGGCAACCCATATTTCAACAAAGTCTGGCCAGTTGCCAGTCAATATGTTAGGAAAATTATCCAAGGTGTCTCTACTTCTGAATTCAACCGGGAAATTCTCATTCTGTATATGGTTGAAAGTTGAATTGCAAAATCTTGAGCATTCTCTTGCAAGAATGTGAGATAAACACAATTGTTCAATAGTCTTAACATTCTTTACCAATGTTACCTTTTTTGGTAAATCATAATATAAATTGATATTTTCTAGTCTGTTGGCTACTGTTTTGTTTTTCATATCTGTGCACAAAACACTTTAATTGCATTATTTCGGAAGACTTAGAGGTTCTGCTGCTATTTCACCAACTCCTACAGCTTTCTGTGCTCAAACATTTTATGTATATACAGGTAGTCTTCAAGTTACAACCATTTGCTTAACGACCGTTCAAAGTTTACAACCGCACGGAAAAAAAGTGACTTATAACCATTTTTCCCACTTATGACTGTTGCAGGATCCCCATGGTTTTGATCAAAATTGGACACTTGGCAACTGGCCCGTATGGTTGCAGTGTCCCAAGATCATGTGATCACCTTTTGCTATCTTCTAACAAACAAAGTCCATCTGGAAACCATACTCACTTAACAACTGTGTTGCTAACTTAACAACTGCAGTGATTCACTTAACAACTGTGGCAATGGTTGTAAAATGGGGCAAAATGCACTTAACAGCTGTCTTGCTTGGCAATGGAAATTTTGGAGTCAATTGTGGTCATAAGTCAAGGAATACCTGTAATTGATTTGGATTGTTGTTGTTTTATGCAGTTCTCACCATCTCATTCTGATTATATTTTCTTTCATCAGTATGGGTTTGATGCCTTTTATTATACTCATCTTGTTTCCTGTGATTTTTTTAAAATAAATCTTCTTATACCTCCCATCTAATTGTTATCCTCCAATTTTTTACTTATTTAGACATACAATAAGTGATTTCTTGTTTCTTCTTGCTTATCTCTAAATCTCAGCATTTTGTTGGGCAGATTTTCTTCTATCTGTGCTGCCTTTTTATTTTCCACCATTCTCCCAACTATTTTCACTATCAGCAAACAGCCATTTTGCCTTCTTTTGCTTTTTGCAATTCTGGATATTTTTTTTGTTTCATCTTTAAGGATGTCTCAAATTTAGAGTACTTTCGACACACAATTTATCATTAAGTCTGTTTAAGTTCCTAGCATAACTCTTTCTCACAGTTCTATACCAGATACTAACTCATTTTATCTCAGTTGTTTTTAATCTCATGATAATATTCAGGTCCATTCATGCTAAATATGTTTCTGCCAAAAATGCATGGTGATAAAAATAAAACAACTGCTTTTATTCTTCCCTTTTGAATAGGCCAGTGCAGCCAGATATTTCCCCCTCATCTTGGCTCATCACAGATAATCTACGGAAATGGTACCACTCTTGGCTCTGTAATTACATTTCGTTGTTCTGACGAGCATCAACTGATTGGTCATGGAGTTGTCACATGCATTTGGAAAGAAAATGCTACACAGTGGACAGCTGATACTCCTTCATGTATACGTAAGTGTTTTTTCCCCACTCCCCTCTCCTTGCTAAATGATTTGTATAATCTTCAGACTTTCTCTGACATGCAGGTGATCTATACCACTGTAAAAACTAATGATAATGGCTGCAGGGTAGAAGAGCAGATTTCAGACTTTGCAGTTCTATTCATTTTCAGAGATCACTGACTATTATCAAAGAAAGACCTGATGCTGAATAGAAATTCCACAGGTTTTTTAAAGATTATATTTAATTAAAAATAATGTTACCCTTTCATTTGATTCATTTCTGGTTCTGTAAGTCTTGCTTGATACTTAATTAATTAATTAATGCCGTACATCTTGCTATCTGAGACACATACAGTATATTTGCTCAAAACATTCCAGCTTAGGTAAATGTTCAGTTTTAAATTCTAAATGTGTTGATGAAGAGAGGTAGAGGTTTTTTTGTTTTTTTTAAAAAGAAATACAGTTATGCTATTGTTTATAATTGCAAAAAAGAAAAGTGGTTATAGTTTCACGCTAGCAAAGTAAGTCAGACCGCAGCTTTTCTAAAATGTCTGTAAGCCTGTGTTCCTGTAAGTTTCCTGGAAAATGGGTGTCAGCATCATAAAAACCACAAAAATCACACAACAATTCAAAAACTGCTACTACGTTGACTTTGGTGGATTATAGGGCATTCAGTCAGTGGGCTGCACCTAACTCCATGAAAGTCGATGTCTTAATAAGTGTGTTAGTCTTCCGAATGCTACCACAGCTTTTTCTGCTTTTCTGCTTTTCCACTTTTCTGCTTTTCCTTCAACATAACCCAGTTAACCCAGTTAACCCAATTAATCAAGAGCATTACAATAACTTCTTCTTTTTGTGATTTTAATTCAGCTATACTGAAATTTTCTTCTGCCTTTTTACCTGTGGTTTTCACTTCATTTGACTATTCTAAAGAGAAAAAGATGTTAAAAATAAAAAAAATATTAAATATGTTCAGAGTGTTTCCAGGCTATCCTACAGGACAAGAGCCTTCTCAAGGCAGCTTATAGTAATAAAATCAAAATGCTATAAAGAATGTAATAAAAAATATTAATAAAGCCCACAAACATTCTGCCACAGTCTTAAAATTGAACTTGTGTGGAGTTGAAACCAGAACAGAACAATAGAATTCCATTTAGGAAAAGTCTTGAGAAAAATAAATGGGAGTTTAGAGCTTTTACAGAAAAGCTGGGAATGAATCAGCCACCAGGGCAGTGCATTCCGTAGGGCAGTGTGTGGTCCTTCTTGCATTAATTGGCATAACTGCTGTCAACGAAAAGAAGATAAGAAGGATTTCCATTCCTGAAAATGGAAGCAGATCAACGGGAATGAAGGTGAACTTGATCTCAATCAGTTTTAAGGCTTTAAATATTAAAACCAGCATTTGAGATTGAGTTCAGGACCTCACTGGTAGTCATACAACTGGCACACTAGAAATGTTGGATGTTCTGACTGCTTTGCTCCCACCAAAGCTATGGTCTATACTAGCTGGAGTTTCAGGACCATCTTCTGAAGCAATCCTCTGAAGAGAAAGCAAAGTATCTGAGATTCCTCCCTCCTTCCAATACTCACTTAGCAGTGAATGCGAATTAGCAACAAAGTATGGAGAAAAATCAGATGACTAAGTGATTCGAGATATTAGCAATGGGCTCTCTCTACTGCTACATGGGCCTTAATAATAGGGCTCAGCCATACCATATAGGCCTTAGGCCTATAACACCGATTGTGCGTTCCAACCACACTGTATGTATGCCTTTGATTTCTATCCTACCAGTGGCTTACAAATACAATAAATATACAGTGCAAAATAACAAAAACACAACAGTGATCACACAAAAAAAATAATAAATGCCAATTTCCTAGGCGGCAGCACCCAAAATCTCTCTAGAAGAGCTTCAGTTTTTTCCAGAAAGCAGCCAGACTTGGAGCTGGTCTAACATGAAATTTTAGTACTGCTACTGAGAAACAGTGCCTTTTAGGATCAGCCTCCTTGACCTCCTTTAAATGGGAAATGAGCTGCTTCTTTTGACACAAACACAATGTTAAGCCTAATTTCAGTATGCAGAGCACCAAAGCTTTGTAGGTAAAAAAACCCCAACATTTTAAATTGCAGGCCAAACTAAATACAGTAATGACTGCTGGCGAGCATCCAGGCCACAACATTTGGTACCAACTGAAGTTTCCAGATGATCTTTAAAGGCGGCCCCCATACAACACACACTGCAATAGTTTACATAATGGTGACAAGGGCAACAATCATAGTTACAAGATCCTCTTATCCCAGGGAAAGCCTGAAGCGATGGTTTGAAGTTACTACTCCCCCTTTTGTTTATGGCTGAGTTGTGTTGGAGTAATTGCTGTGCCAAGTTCCTCGTGAGGATTTCATTGCTCTCTTATAAATAAGAGGCTTTTAAATAGTTTGCTTTGAGATGGTTCCAGATAGAACACTCCTACTGTTGGTGCATTTAATGGCAGGGGTGTGAATGTACAGCAAGGTGCAGATGTCAGCCTCTAACTGTGTTTGTTTTATTCCAGCCATATCCAAATATGAAACCTTTGGATTTAAAGTTGCTGTGATTTCTTCCATTGTGAGCTGTGCCATTATTCTCCTGATGTCAATGGCTTTTTTAACCTGTTGTCTTATCAAGTGTATTAAGAAAAGTGAAAGAAGACGGGCTCAAAGGTGAGTCATATTTCTGGCTTTAGGCTGTTAATTGAAGTATCAGCCGTAAGATAGAGCTGTTGCTGTACTGTTTTTCTCTTTCTCTATTAGTAAATGCTCATTTTCTTCTCCTGGCTGCAAATATAAACAGGAAGGTTCTCATCAGTTTGCAGGTTCCATATGACAGGATCTGCAATTTTTAAATAGAATAGAATAGAATAGAATAGAATAGAATAGAATAGAATAGAATAGAATAGAATAGAATAGAATAGAACTGTTCCACTAGTTAATTGATCTCACTTTGTCTTGATACTGAGACATTTCTCCCTTTTTTAATTTGTCAGCCACCCATAATTGTTCTGGAGTTGGGCAACCCTAGATGTACCCAATACATTACATTATACACACATACACATGCATACATACATACAGTGGTTTTTTTTCTAAAAAAAAAAAAGGTGCCGGAACTCACACATGGCATACAACCTGCCTTTCCTACCCTACAAGGTTCCATCCAAAAAAGGTGCCGGAACTCCGTCCTGGCGTTCTATGAGAAAAAAAGCCCTGCATACATACATGTTCTCCAACTATGATAAGGCCCTATCATCACCTGTATTTACTGACCTCTTGGCAGAAGTACAATTTTTCCAAATTTTGTTAATCTGATTCAAGACTAAACTGTCCCAGAAGAGTTCTGGCCAGTTTAATTTGAGAGACCAAGTTCACAATAACTTTTTGTTCTATTGCTTGCAGGGGGGAAGCTTTTACGAGTCAATTTTAAGGTTCTGTGAGTTGCTCAGTCAACTCACAGACCCTTCTCAGATTTCTGGCAAGGCATAATTGCCCAGAAGACACAGACTTTTAGCCATGGGGCCCCACGATAATATGTCAAGAGAAATGAAGGGTTATTTAATTGTTAATTTAAGTACATATGCATGCCTCTTGAATCCATTATTTCCCTAAACCCAATCAGTCTCACACTTCACATTCATACACAAATCCCAGTTCTTCAGTTCAACTTCCACAACAGAATAAAGCCACCATACTATTTCATTGCCATTGTCCTTTAATAGTCACCATCTCCATCAACATTCCCTCATTACTGTTATTGCTCCAATTGAAGGTCAAATTTGCACTGGTGCCAGCTGGCCAACTAGCTCCTGTTCTCTATTTAATATTTCCATTTTTTTCTACCATACCCAGGGGTCATTTTCATTTGGTTTTGTTCTGCCCAACTTTCTCTCCAATCTTCCTGATTCACTCTCACCTTTGCTTTGAATTCAATGGCATGTTCCTTCAACATTCATACTGCATATATATTTCAAACCCAAAACTCTTCCACCCAAACAGTCCAGCTGAATGCCATCTTGATATCTTCTCTGTACAATTAGGGAATTTGACTTTTCAGGGTTCTTTCCTATGTGGAGAGAATCCACATATATACAACTCACGCATACTTCCATTATTCAGAATTTCAGATGATTGTATAGAAGTTGGAATCAGGGGCAATGGGCACAACCTTGCATTTGCAATAAAGATGAAAAGGGACCCTTCCACTAAATTGGAGAAAAGGGCAGTATTGTCATCGTGCCTGTCTTAGATTATTTAAGTTATATTGCACAAGGTCAGCATCATATAAAAGAGAGAGAATAAATGGGGGAGGGGTTCATGACAGGAATGTGAATTGCAGAGGCAGTCAGCCATCCCAACCTGGTCAGTTAGAAAAGAAAGACTCTCGAATCCATTGTTAAAGAAAGTACACTTTACTAAAGCCAAGTGGTTACAGAGTAGCAAAGCCGGATCTGAAGTTTCAATCCCAAAGCATCTGGTTAACTCTTCCCTTCTCCCCACCTTTCCTTTGGTTATCTTAAACTATCCAATTACACAAACAAATAATAACAGCCCCTGTCTTGGCGAGCAGGATGATCTCATATTCCATTCCATGACCTTGGAACAGCCAGGGGCTCCCACGGAATGGCATGAAAAGTATTTTCAATTTTCTTCATCCAAACCTCCCCTTTACCTCCCTGCAGGTCCCTCCCCCCCATTGCTTATAGCTGACTAGCATCTGGCAAAGCATGGCTGGTGTAGCAGGAAGACAGTCCTGACAGAGACTTGATGTGTTCTGCTATTTCAGATGTTTGACATTAGTCACATTTGCACAGTACACATCTGCTGTGATCTGCTATGGATGGAAACAGTGCCTCTTTTCACAGGGATGTGCAGTTCTGGTACCAGCTCAGAAGTGAAGAGCTAGAAAACATGCAAGCAGCTTACTTTGGTTTGAAAGGCAGGAATAACAATAACAACAACAAAAATATTAAAACCCAGGCGGAGTCTGATGGTGATAGTAATGTGGCGTATGACAACCATGGCTTCTGCAGGTAAGGAAGAGATCAATTGGTATTGTGCTGCATTTCCTGAACAGTTTTTACAGATGACTGGACAATCTACTTATCACGCACATCTCAGCACTCTGTCATTTTAGTGTACAGGTCCATCTTGCAGAGTGCCTAAAATGACTCTGTCATTCAAAGCTCTGTTGAATGCTCTGTTTTCTACACAAAAACCATATTGTAAAATGAACCTCTAGATCATTCTCAGAGTTGCTCCTTCAGGCCTTCTCTGCATTCCCTCCTCTAATTTAATATGCACAACTGTAGTTATACTGTGCAGTTTTATTTATGATAATGCTACGTAAGCTATAAAAGTTAAACTGCATCTCCAGTCACGCTGCAGATCAAGAATCAAGCTGCACATTATGCTCAGTGCATGGCATGTTAGTTTATCTTCCACATTTAATTCCATCCTTCCAGGACTGGAAGAAATGGAGAACAACCAACATAGAAAATATTCAGCCTCTTTATCTATCTGTGGTAACAGGCAGTTGATGGCTAGTTCTCCTGCAGGGCATGTGATTGTGGACCAAGAAGTTGTTCCATGCACAGCAAAGATGAACCATCACGGCATCAAATAGGAATAGGGACCAAATTCATCAGATTTATTTGGGTGATGGGGGGAAAATAATCCAATTTGACATTATCAGCTTTAGTGTTTTTCACTAACACTCCCAGGAATGTGAATCAGTTCTCATCATTCTGTAATAGTACAGAAAACCTATATCTCTCTTATCTTTAATTATACTTTTAAAATGATAAAATGCTGCAAGTTATGCATTAAATGTAAATGTAATGTTTAGCTCTAAACTAAGACATCTGATTATTTATCTTTGAAAGCCATTGTAGGCTGTTCGTAGGGTATTTGTTATTCAGCTAAATAAAAATTCTCACAATTGGTAAAATGATTCCATTTATATTTTTTATTTAAAAAATCCTAAATATAAATTAAGGAATTGCTTCACTGCTACAATTGCGCTGGGAAACTAAAACCTATTTTATTTATTCTCTAAATAAAGGGAATAATCTTGGTTAAATAGCAATTTAATCAATATTATCCCCTTTATTTAGAGAATCCAAATCTAATGTAGGGGCAGTTTCCCCCCCACTCATATAGGAATGAAAATGTAACAGGACACAATTTGCAAGAATTTAGTCTGCAACTACTGTATTTTATGCCACTTTGTCTCTTTGGAAGAGAAATCTGTTTAAAACCGCAGAATGCTGAGTTGCATTAGCTGCTCCATCTTGTTTCTGATAATGGGAAAAATTCTTACTGCACCATCTTCAACCCTTAATTTGTGAAAGTATCAGTGCAAGTTTTCGCTGCTAGTGATAGAAAGAAAGCTAAGCGTAAAATGGCTGCTGCGCCTTGCAGTAACTCGCAAAGGTCAGAGCAGATAATATAATAATCTTCTGCTCCTGCTGTATGGCTATCCGAGTGTCCCTAAGAAGCCACTCCTATGCACCCCATTAGTTAGTACTGCCTTGTACTAGATCAGCTGGAGGACTTCCAGCGTTCAATTATTCCTGCTGCAGTTTCCAGTCTACCCACCACTGGGCCAGAAATTGCCCTTGTAGAAGGACAAAGGAATCTCCTTATGGCCTCATTAATACCACTTTAGATCCATAAGAAACTGTTTTATACCATATCAAGCTCTTTGTCCATCTAACCCAGCCTTGTCTCTGCTGACCAGCCAACACCGGTCTTTCTTATGCCTATCAATTCAGGCTGCCAGGGATTGGATTTATGACCTTCCCAAGAGGCAAAGAAACTATTGTTCTACACTTACCTTTATTACCCGGGTTATAATGTACATTTCTATGCACATTTTAGTAATAATAGATATCTTTATTATTCTCCATTTTTGCCTGGTAGTGATACCTTGCAAAATTATTGTTACTATAGCTCAAGGCAGTCCTTCAGCTATCTTTTCAGAATTCCTAGAAGGACTGAGATATTGATATTTTTTAATCTTCTAAATACAGGCTGTCCTTGGCTTGCGACCACAACAGAGATCAGAATTTTGATCATAAGTGATAATGGTTGTTAAGTGGGTCACCATGTAAGCTGACTCGATTTTATGACTGTTTTTAATGATAGCCATTAAGTGACTCACAAGTCATTAAGCAAACCATGTCATTAAGCGAATCCAGAATAATATCCAGTGGGTGAGGTTTTTTTGCCACTTTCTGCTGGAAAATGGTAGAAAAGTCACAAATCACAATCACATGACCGCAAGACACTGCAACCAGTCCTAAGAGATTAAGGGCAAGCTGGGTGAGTGAGCTGTCTATCACTTTGCTTGGCGTATGATTGCTACTTTCTACAAAAAAATGTCTGGCATACGATAGCAACAGTGACAAAATGTATCACATCAAAGGAGCAGCATATGTCCATCCTGTGTGCTAGTTACTTCCTGCTTACTTTAATCCCAAAGTTTTAGGGATGGTGTGATGGTCCCAGGACCATGGGGCCTAATTTTTGAGCCAGTTTGAGCCATGCCATTTAATCAATTAAAAAGGATTGTGTGTTTGTGTGTGTGTGTTTCAGTAGAATCCCCAAGCTGTGATGGCCCTGAGAAGTTGACTAAACTCAAGAGAATGAGGAAAAAAGTGGTGCTAAGATAGAGCCCTTCACTTTAACTTTAGGGTTAGTCTGATTTGTTTTATTAATCAGTCTCATGAGCTGCCCTAAGGATGCCTTTGTCCCATAAACCAAAACAAACAACACCCAATTTCTTTTTTTACTACATCTATTTCAGTAACACTGAAGATCTGAATTTGGCACTCTCTCTATATCAAATGATATATTGCAATTGGTCCACTGGATTATGTGGAAAATGAACCTTGAAGCTGACAAATGAGGTGCCAGTTTTGTGTGTCACTTAAGGGATATTGTATAATGAATTAGATAAGAGTCAAATGATTCCCAACTCATAAATTGCTGTTAACAGCATGGCAGTAAAGAGGAATGATTGGAGTAAGAGCAATCTCAAAAAGGCCCATCATGGGTAATGTAAGAAATGCAATTGGAAGACAATAAATTAGATGTCATTTTTGCATTTCCTAGATTCTTGTCCTCACATAACAACTGCTATTTTTTTTAAAACACAGTTATGCCTCTCTAAGCTAAGACAATATGCCAAATAGCCTAATGCTCTGGAAACCTGTGCCAAGCTTGTGTCCACCAAGGGCAATTCCTTCCTTTATTATCCTGAAAAGAAAGAAGCTGTCAAATTTAAACATTAGCCACTCCTCACATTTATCCTAGTTTACTTTAACAAATAGATGAAAGTTTCTTTTCCACTTCTTGGATGATGCTGTTTTTACAGCATCCTACAAAGCAGTGGCTTTTTTTTTTCAACATGGGGACAAATGCATCAGTAGCTTAAATGCTTTGCAATTGAAATCCTGTCTGCTCAGAGCAGAAATATGTTTTTCAAGTCCATAAACACTTATTACATGGATTATTTCTTCTATATGCTCCTCCTTCTTTAAGCATTGCTGCAAGAAATGATTTTTTTTTCTCAAATACCTGCCCTCCTTTTTAATACTATGTAATTTGGCCACCTTTAGATATCAACATGTTAAGGAATCCTTAGATTTTGGTGAAGATGTTTAATGAATAGGGGTGCCCTGGAGGCCAGGAACAAACAGAAGTGTTCAGAAGTCCAAGAATGAAATTATAATGAATAATGAAGCAATGTACTTTATTGAAAAACAAAGGAGGCTAATCACTTAACATTCATTCATTCCAATCAGCAGTGTAAAAGCTAACACAGAGATCTGAAGTAGTTAATAATAGGCTATGAAGAATGCAGTACAGGTGAAACTCGAAAAATTAGAATATCGTGCAAAAGTTCATTTATTTCAGTAATGCAACTTAAAAGGTGAACCTAATATATGAGATAGACTCATTACATGCAAAGCAAGATAGTTCAAGCCGTGATGTGTCATAACTGTGATGATTATGGCTTACAGCTCATGAAAACCCCAAATCCACAATCTCAGAAAATT